GAAATAGAGGAGAACTGAAAACGAGGCAAGAAATGAAGAGGAGATAAGGTCTCAGAAGTCTTCACTCAGGATTAGCCCTGGGACTATTGCTGCTGAGCAAAAGGCCATAGGTTCCTTGCTTGAATGATCACTATACCCTAGAGAGGTTCTTTAGTAGTAGGCATGGCAGATGAAGGATTCCACCCAGGACTTACTTGGGGGTGTGGGTCTTGATCATTTTTCTGTGGTATATGCTTTTTTGAAAAGTCACTGAAAGCCATTTCTTTTTTTTTACTTTATTTTTTTTAATTTTAATTTTTATTTTGTTGTACTTCAGCTGAACGCTTACAGAACAAATAGTTTCTCATGAAACAGAAGTACACATGTTGTTTTATGACATTGGTTAACAACCCCACAACAACCCTCTAACTTCTCAACCTTTTTTTTTTTTTTTGGTGAAAATACACATAGCCAAAGATACACCATTTCAAAAATTTCTACATGCACAGTTCAGTGACATTGACTACGCTCTTCCAATTGTGCTGTTATTCTCACTTAAGATGAAGGCTTACAGAACAAAATAGTTTCTCATTTAACAGTTACTACAAATGTTGCCCTGTGACAATGGTTAACAATCTCACAACACATCAACAATATCCTTACTCAACCTTGGGTTCCCTATCACCAGCTTCCTTGTCCCCTTCTGTGAAAGCCATTTCTTGATATATAACTACAGTAGAACAGTGATTCAAGTTGGATACTCCTTCTTCCCTCTTTACAAGAGGACTTTTGGTGGGCAAATGCATCATCTTTTACTTTTATCTACTGGCAGAAAATTCAATATAAGACCCTACAAATTTATAGACTAAAAGTAAGGCTTACATTTCCATGTTTCATTCTTTGATATCAAAGAATCAAAAGAATCTATTTTTAAAACTCTGAACAGGGTACACCCATTTTAGACAGTTAAAATAAACATGTAGTATAATGACATTTGTGTACTTAAGTTTAAAGAGCCCTGGTGGTGTGGTGGTTAAGCACTCCACTGCTAACCATTGGAATCCACCAGCTGCTCTTTGAGAGAAAGATGTGGCAATCAGCTTCGGTAAAGATTACAACCTTGGAAACCCTATGGAGCAATTCTACTCTTATCTATGGGGTCGCTGTGAGTCTAAATTCTACTTGATGGCAATGGGTTTGAATACTTAAGTTTTTATAAGAAACCATAATTTTTTTTCAAGCCTGGTAGAGTGATTGCTTTAAAAAAAAGGTATAGAATTTGCATGCCAGTAACTAGGTGTTTTAAGAATAAAATAAAATTAGTGCATTCTAAATTTGGCCAGTTAAATTCTGCAGAATATCTGCATATGCATATCTCCAGGGGATATGGTAACCACTAGAATTTTATTTTCTATTAGGAATATAAGGAGCCTTGGTGGTACAACAGTTAAATTCTACCTGTTAAGTACTGGCTGCTAACTGAAAGGTTAGCGATTTGAATCCACCCAGCGGCCCCACAGGAGAAACACCTGGTGATCAGCTCCCATAAAGATTATAGCCTAGAAAACCCTATGGATCATTTCTGCTCTGTCGCATGGGGTCACTATGAGTCGAAATTGATTCATCTGCACCTGACAACAACATTAGGTGTATACTGACTGGTCATGTGAACATTTTATATTTTGGGTTATAAACTATAAATCTTCAGATCTGAAAGCATTGTGGCTTTGTGTAACTGGATGTAATTATTCCCGACAGGGTTTAAATCAACTTCTTAGCAATGTTTTACAGATTACTTTTAAAGAATCTATATACAAGAGGCTTGATCATATAAAAAGATTCTAAACTCAATCATTTCTCTTGTTGACTTAGTTTAGATTATTTCCAGTTGATCTGTATTTGCTACTTTCTAAAGCTAAAAGCTGAATTTTACTTAATCTAAAACTATGTGTTTAAAAATCCACAATTATGTGTGTTGGTTTAGAGTGTTATCCTATTGCTACTGACTTAAAAAGAAAAAAAAAATCTATAAACCTGCGAAGTTGGGGTGGTTGTGGTGGTGGTAAAAGTTGGAAGGAGATTTGTATGCTGTTGGAGGAAGATAGTACAGCATTATAGGAAGATTTGGAGTAGATTATTGGTAAAGTTAGTTCTTGAGTGTGAAATACCACACTGTCTAATATGACATTTTAGAAGAAAATTAATAAAAGATGAATGCAAGGAAAAATGCATCTTCATAAAATATAGAGTAATTTCAGCTGTCTATTTAAGAATTTTAATTTTTGCTTCATAAAAAATAACATTCTGAAGTTATGAAGCTGTAATGAACACAAAATTATCCTCAATTCCTAGTTTTTAAGACGTCTAGGCAACATGACCAAAATTAAGTCAATTTATAATTCTTAGCACTTAGCCCAATATCTCGTAAGAAGCACAGTGCCTTGTATTTAATAACTATGATCTGTTGAATGAATGAGTGAATGAATGAATGAATGACCTGCCAGCCACATTTAGCTGCCAGTTTTAGTTTATATATGTATGTCATTTTTAAACTAATTAAACATCCCAGCAAATAGCAAAATAGCCCTAAAAATAAATATTGAGGACAAATATGGGGTTATGGCTAATTTTTGTTTTATTCTTTGCAGTTATGTGTATTTTCTAAATTTTTAACAATAAATGTTATGTAGCAAAATTTTTTTCAAGATACATACATGGTTAGAATTTATCTTAAAATGAAGTATAATTCTCACTTCTAATAACTAGTGTCTATGGTTCAAACTGCAGAGGCTCTCCTTTTACATTAAAGGCTGCTTTTCAAAACTAATGTAATTCTAGCTAAACAGCATTTATTGGGTTAATTAAAGGAAGTAGAATTTTTATCTTAACTTGAATTAATTTTTATATTAAACAGAATTAATGTTTCTGCCATTGATACAAAGCAGCATCATTCCATTTTGTAGGTTGAAAATGTTTATCCTTTTCTGAAAAACAATTAAGATGCTATATTGAATGCAAGCCTTCTTGCAAGTAGAATCATATTTGAGTGACTTAAAAAAAAGATACTTAAAAACAAAAACATGCTGACCTATAAACACAATCTCCTACTCTCCCTGATAGAAACAAAATATTTGAACCAGAGTGGGTGAATATTATGAGCCACTGTGGCAGTTGGTAGTTAAAACCTATGACTAACGGTTGAGATATCTGTCTAGGTGGACCACATGGACTTAGTTATCTGCCCACTGAAATGACACAATGGGGAGATATCTGATGAATATTGTGGAACATCTGTGAATGGATCACGGCTTTGCCTGATGTGAATCATTCTTCCCTCAAAAATTTAAAGTTTAATAGTTAAAAAATTCCAATCTGTTGTCACATAAACTGAAATGCTTGGCCTGTTCTAAGCATTGTGAGGAAATGAATACATTACATACACTAAGACATTATGCCTGTAAGTGGTTTGGCTATGTTTTAGACCCCTACATTTAGGAAAAACTAAAAATGTTTGTTATTATTGACAGTGACCAGTGAGAACCTTGGGTCACTGCAAACAGTAAAATATACCTTCTTCAACTTCTCACCACCATCATGCAACTGCAGGGCTTAGGTCTCCTGAGTTTGGTTGTTTTCCCTGTTAGTTCTTTAACTTCAAGGGGCTTCATTGAAGGTATGCATAACATGATAACTGAAACACTCTGACCTACAGGATTTCCATGACTCTTATGAGACTTTGGGGAAAGCATTTGGTGCCTAGCTCTTTAGGTGATCGTTTCCTTCACTGAATGATCCTGTTTTATGTTGATTTCCCTAACTTGGGATAAAACTCTTTTCTTTAGGGGACTATTACTTAAAAACAACTGAAGGATTGTGTGGGGCTAGGTGTGAAGCTGTGGTTTCCTAGATACAGCTAATGCTGCTTTTACAACTTTTTCTGGGTAATATTGGGGGTGGGGTGGGTGAGTGTGGTGGACAGGTTAGCTTGTGCTTTTATTTCCAACTCCAGGAGTAACCTGCTACCTCTGTATGATCTGAAACATTTAGCATTGTCTTGTAGATTGACTTGTTTCTCTTTGATATTTTGATATACCTATCTTTTTCTCTTTTGATTCCTTGATGCTAAAGAGAAAATAAGTCTGCATAAAGTCTATTCACCAGGGATGTTTTCAAATAAGAGTGTGTGTTTGTGTGTGTCTTTGTATTTTGTGAAATGTGAGCAAGTTGTGGTGGATATCTTTGCCAATAAATAATTAACATTTATTTAGAATTTTACAAATTTTATAAGAATATTTTTAGCTATGGTAAACAGGTAACATAGACCAATTTTTAAAAATGAGATAAGTATTGTATAAGTTAATATTCAAAGAAATATGTATGTGTCTCTTTGACAATGGTATAACCAACAGAGGGCCAACTCTGGTAGAGCAAACAGACTAATGGGTTAAAATCCAAAAGAGACCCAGTGTAATGTTTAATCTCTAGACTTTGTGGGCTTTCAGAGAAATAAATGTTATAAATGCAAGAATAAAATAAAATGTGTAGATGTGATGTGTTCTTAACAAAGACTAAACTGATGAGATTTGTCCTACAAAATATCAAAAAATAAATTTGTCCCTATTGTTTTATTTTTTAAATAAATATAAACATTGTTTTACATTGAAACATATATTTGTACATTTTATCTAATGATATTTTAGGATATTGAAGTTGATTTCTTTTTTAAGGAAAACAAGAAGAAGAATATACAAATGGGAATGTTAATGGTTTAAGATTACCAATAGTTTCTTTTATGGACTTGAAAAGAGTTATGCTTCTAAATATGAGACCAATAATTTTTCCTAAAGTTACAGTATAATGACCAGGACTTCTCTCCTTTTTAGAGAAGCAGTCAAGTGTTTCTGGAAGAGATAAGACAGCAGCAATCCAGTGAGGTTGATCCCCACAGAGGAAAGCTGTGCGCGCCTAACTTATTGAAAGGTAAACTACTCTTCAATTAATGATGTCCTCCTTTTCTCAAGGTGCCCAAAGACAGGAGGTGGTCTGTAAAAGGCTGGATGACAACTCCATTGTCCAGAACAATTACTGTGACCCTGACAGTAAGCCACCTGAAAATCAAAGAGCCTGCAACACTGAGCCCTGCCCACCTGAGTAAGTAAGAGAAAAAAGTGAGATTTTTCTTCAAGTACAAAGGAAAAAACATTAGATATTCATACTTGGAAACATATTCATATGATATGAGTAATATAGGCTGAGCAAAACTGAAAATATACAAAAAAAATTTAGAAATTTTTCTGATACTTCACTTGTTTGTTTTTAATAGACTTTATTTTTTACAGCAGTTTAATGGTTACAGATAAATTGTGCAGACAGTATAGAGAGCTCACATATCCCCACCTACCACCACATTATTTCTCCTATTAACATCTTGCATTCCTGTGGTACACTTGTTACAATTTATGAACCAATATTTATGCATTATTATTAACTAAATAATGTAAAGTCCATACTTTACATTAGGCTTCAAAGAGTGTAGAAATTTAATATCCCTGTCACTGAGCAAACATTCCTGTTTATTTGTAGATTTCAGTTATTAACACTTTTAAAGCAGGAACTTCAGTGAGGTTGGTCCTGATACAGTTCTGGAAGTGATCATATTTCATCAGTTCTAAAGCATATATCTTTTTTACATTATAACATCTCTAAAATTGGGATTCATCTAATTGATGGTGTCCCATATAACAACTGGCACCGATTTTTTCTTTCTTAATGGTACATAAAATAATGGTATCTTAGATTCAGTAAAATGCAGTAGATTGGTATGCAGTCCTATCATTTCCAGATATAGTATTTATCCTAAAGTCCTAAAGATTTCTACAATGGTTTAGAAATAACCCTGCACTGGAATGCCAGTGGTTCAATTTGCTGACACAGTTTTAAGTTCTGTCATTTTAAGTCACCACATCTTTTGAGTGTCAGGCACAGGCTTGCAGGTGCACTTCAGTGTTTCTCTGCCTGTTTATGTAGCAATTATCAGCTCACTGTAAAGGGAGGTCCAAGGAGAGAGTCCATTCTTCTTAATGATGACTTTAAAATGAGACCTGGTTTCAGTGAGCCACACTTTATAATCTAAACAGAAAGATTTCTTAATTGTGCAAGAGGCAATGATTATGTGAAAAAAGACCAAGGATGCTGAGCTGATCATGAAACTGATCTTTGTAGGAATTTTGCCTGACTGACAACTAACTGCAAGACAGAACATGTGTGAATGACATTTTTTTCTTGTATGAGAGATGAGGTTAATTGGTATAATACCCCTGGTAGCTAATTATTGCAACATGAAATTTATAAGTAAACACATGTATGTGTGTGTGTTTGTATAATATATAATTTATAATAAAATGAAGTAATCCCTTTCCTAAAAATGACCACAGTAAAATCACAGAAACCTGGCACTTACAATGCATAAAGAATCCAGGACCCTAATACAGTTAAAACACAATACATTTCTTAGTATTTGTTCTAAAACAATAAAGCCTTATCAAATTTGATTATATAAAGACAGTGTCTGCCTCAACGTTGGAATCTTAAAGGAAGATGTTCACTACTAGTCTCTTGAAAAGGTTTATGGTAGTGGCTATCAAATAAGAAGCATCAGGAGATCTAGAGTGATAGAAAAGAATTTTTCATTATAGATCTTTTATAATTTTATATTGGTTCTTTTCTAAATGTGATCATATTATAACTAATTCCTTAAAATCCAGCATGGGAAAGTATAGAAATGTGACCTACAATATATATGACAAAGACAAGCTTATGCATTTAATTTTTTCATTTTCCTCCTTTCTCCAAATTATTTTTATAAATTAATCTTAAGTAAAACCGAAAAACTATATAAAACAAATTGATGCTTAAAACCATGGGCTAATTTCTATTAAAGTGTATATCATTTTGCTATTGATTTATATGAACTCTTTATGTATAAGGATATTAACTCTTTTACCTGTGTTGCAGATACTTTTTTTCTGGTTTGTCATATGTCTTTCATGTTATTTATAACATTTTGATCTATTTTTATATAGGAAAACTACCAAACTTTTATTTCTTTCATTAGTGTAATGCTTAGAAAGACCTTGCCCACTCTAAGATTATAGTTTCAAAGTTTTATTTTTTTAAAAAATAGAAATTTTAACCTATCTGAAATATATTTGCCTGATTTGAGAAAGGGATCTATATTTATTTTCAAATATTGTTTTCCCAAAACATTAATTTAAAATCCTAAATGGTATTTTTTTTATCAGAAAGTACCTTTTCAAATTTGAAATATTTTAAATGTCTTTTAGTCAAAGAAAATGACAGGGGACTGGAAGACTAGATAAAAGAGGCATTAGTAGAGATGTAATAACAGTGTTTTTTTGGAAGACTTTGAGAAGCCAGAGAAGGTCTTGCTGGGGAAAATTCATAGTAATCAAGGTGGTAAGGTAACTAGGGTCAGGAATAAAGCATGAGTTCTGGAGGCATTGAGTGAAAATGGTGGGATTCTTGACATAGCCATGAATAATTGGAAAAAAAGAAAGGAAGGAGTTGATATTAAAGGATATGGCTGATAGGAAGCTAGTACCCCACCATAAGAACAGGAAGTAATGCTGAGTTGGAATCCAAAAAGAAAAGGCCAAGAGTTCAGTTTTTACCATTCTGTCTTTTAATAGCAAGACTATTTCTAAATATGACCTCATTGTGTGGAATCCTTGGATACTAAATATTATTCCTGTGTGATAGTGTGGTTTTTAAATTTGTTAAAACCAGAAAGATGAAAAGAATAAAGACTGATATACATTGTGATAATACTGTGACCAAGAATTTAAAAAAAAAAAAATTTTTATTAAGCAACTGCAATGTGGAAGGCACTGTACTTCGGGAGAAATGGTTCCTTTTCCTAATGACAGTCTAATTGGGCAAATATATACAAATAACTATAGTACAGGGCAAAATATGGTAAGTATTTATAAGTTATAGTAAGAAAGGTAAGAGAGTTATAAGCAAAAGTGGTAAAGGAAGCTCAGAGAGTAGGGAGAGATTAATTTTTACCCAGGGGCTAGGTTTTATTTAATGGTATCTGTTATGGTATGATGTTTAACAATTATTTTGAGTCATTGCACCTCACTCATGGACAACTATAATCTGTTATTTTAAGTTTAGAAAAAGATTCTTCAGTCTGTCTGTAAAACTCCAAAATTTAAGATCTGGGAAGAATCATAGAAATCATCTAGGCCAACTCCCATCATTTTCCAGATGAGGGTATGCAATCTCCAATGATGTTTTTCCCATTATACCAGACATTACTAACTTTGTAAGTTACAAATCAAATGGCTGATGGCATTTTAATACTTCTAATTTTGCTTGCTTCATTGACACATTCTCAATTGCCACAGCTTCAGAGATGTTTATTACATTGATTAAAAAATAATTTAGAAAAATCTCAACTGTGGAATGTTTAGGGCATAGAGGGTTCTGCTTAATATTAGTTTCATTTTCCAATTAGCTGAGGAATGACTAAAATTTCTCTTTTTTTTTTAACCAACTTTTTGTTTTGAAAATATTTCTAAAAAGTATTTTAAAACTTTCCTATCTTGGTAAGTAGACAAGTTTATATAATCGAATCTCTCTTTGATTAAAGATACTAGTGTCAAATTCTACGGGTTGTCTCTTTATTTTGCTATGTTGTGTTTATGAAAAAGGTTGATGATTATACTCTTGACTTTGGACAAAGGCTAGGAGATCTCTCTTTCTCTCCTCCATCCTCTTCCCTCTTTTTTATACCAAATGTCTAGTTTCAGTCTGTTTCCCTGTATTTGCCATTTTCCTTTAAATTAAAAAGCAAAAATTAAATTCTGGTTTTTTGAAGGATTATTTCTTCAAAAATATTCTCTTTAACCAAGGCTGAGGTTAATTTTTTAGGGTATCTCTTTTGTTCTGTCCCTAAAATAATAATATTGTATGTCCTATTAATCTACAGAGATTATAGATCAGATTACACATGCTGCAGCAAACTACTCCTATTTCAGACACTTAAACATGAATCCCACTAAGTGTTAGTGTCTAATGAATATGTGAGGATGAAGACAATTTGATCACTGGGTGTTAAGAAGAACTCAGAAAGATATAGCCCAGGGACTGTTCAGGCTATCACAATCCAGCAGTTGATATTCCCCGAGAGAATTTCTCTGTTCATATTTTTATCACAAAATCTAGAGGAGGAAAAAAGACAGGGAAGCATAGGGAATGCCATCAGAGTGTCAAATACATGGAAAATGAAGGTGAAGGAAGCAGTATGTCTTGAGACAGGAGTGGAGAGACTGAGACAAGTAGATGCAATGGTAAAATTGCAAAACTATTTAAATAACTAGGGTGTGATTCAATGCTTTAGAGAGACTTGGGAAGAGATGATTTTGTGAGCAATAAAGAAAGATGCAAGACAGATTAAATATGAAGCCTGAAATCAGAGTTAGAGTCAAATGGGAAATTGGGAGGGTGGTTAATACTTTTATACATTCCAAGTTGAAGGTTATAGTGATACAGCTAGGCTGCTTCTGAGGAGACATGGTTGGCAATAAAAGAGAGGACAAAGGCAGAGGTGGCCCTGACCCCAGGCAGCGAAGAACAGCAACACCTCCTGAATCACCGCCATGACTCTGGGCACCTGTGTTTAATTTGAAGGCCTCCATGCTTCTTACATTATGACACCTCATGAGATCATGGCTGGAGGTGGTATGACTGAACTTTTTGTGGCTGAGTTATACACATTTCTGTTTTATCCTCTAATCTTGGTGATGAAATCACTGTTGTGAATTGAATCAGAGTTTCACTATGGCTGGCATGCAAGTTATTATTCTCAGTACTCATTTTCCTCTTTACCAAAAATGGTACTAACAACTTGAGATCATGTTCATCTGTGGAAAACAGAAAGGAAAGAATATGAAAATCACTTTAAATCGCCTTTGGAAAATGACTTAAGAGGAAAAAAATGTTAATGTCAGGTTTTTAAAATTCAGGGTTAAATGATCACTCTTTAAATAAATTTTAGGTTGAAAATTCTTAGATTCTGACAAAATATATTTTAAGTTTGTAAAACTAATTATGATATTTTTAAACACTGCTTTTATTTTATAAGCACAGATAATCGAAATAATAATGAACAAAGGCCATTATGGTTTAGTTGGTTGAATGCAGGCTCAGATTTAGGCTACTAGTATTCTGACTTCACTAAGGTACTCTCTTCCATATACAGAAATGCCACAATGGAGCTACACTGCTGAAAATCGTGAGAAACTTGTTAACCTTTCATACTCTTCTCTCTGGTTACTTTATCACCTAAGAGCATATCCACTGAGGATAGTTGTATGGTTTATAACATGGAATGAAGAAAATGTCTTGTGATCTTATTCTTGTGACCTAGATTCTACTATACAGCAAAGTTAAAAACGAAATTCAGTGAAAATTGCAATTGATGAGTGATTTAGTCCTAGCTCCATCATTTCCTCTTTTCAAAACTTTGAAGAACTGTTTTTCTAATACTGGGTCTTACTTTCCTCTTCCATAAATCAAAGCAAATGCCTTGAACATAGTAGACATTCAGCAAATAGTTATTAAATTAAGTGCGATAATATGTCATTGAGGACCCTGGTTGCAAATAACACAACCTCAACTTCAGCTAGCTCCTGCTCATAAGATTTATTGCTTTATGTAACAAAGCTGAGGGACGTATAAGGATGAACTCAGCTTGAGGGGACAGAATCAAGGATCAAACACCATCAGGACTTTCTAGCCCCTCTACATGCTTTCACATCAGCTAATTCCACTTCACAGAGGGCATGGCCACTACAGCTCTAGATTAATATCCTTACATGCCTTTGTGACCAGAAAGGAAAGGGATCCTTTTGCTCTAGCTTGAGATATAAAAATTCCGAAGAGAATTCTCATTGGCCGGATTTGGAGCATGATCCACACCTTTTGGAGCATGATCCACACCTTTTGGACCAATTTATGCGCCCAGAGCAATGAATCCTGCAGGAGTATACCAAAAAACTCTAAAATTACATCTATCTATCTATCTATATATATGTTCATCAGTGACTTTCAGGAAAAGGAATGGCATACCTATAAATGTGAAAAGTGTTCATTTTGTTAAGCATTTGAATTTCTTCCCAAATTAGCTGTATAGAAGCTGTTTTTAGGAACAAAGGAGTCAAAACAAGGGTTGTCCATATTTTTCCGAGCTGGTTCAGGGATCTGCCCTTGTTAAAAGTGTTATAAGACTCCCATGACCTCAGGATAGATACCTGTGGCCTTGTCTGCCCCATTTCTACAACATGGAAAACAAATCCTCCCCTCCTTTAGGGCGGTTTTGTCACAAAATCCTGAATTATAGAGGAATCTGCTTCAATGTAACAAAAATAGCTACTGTTTCTTGTTTGTTGAATGCCAGACACTACTGTAGACGTTTTTAGTGGTGTGCTGGAGCCAGTTAGTACTGGCCTGAGAGAGCCTGTTGTTAGCATAATTTCATGTTCAGATTGTTAAACTGGTAGCTTGAAATTGCCATAGTGGGGTATTTACACCACAAAAATTGGCAAATGCTACAAATCAGGGTTCCCACCATGGAAAGCCAGTTGTTAAACATTTACCAGCAGACCTGGAGGCTTTATATACATTGCTATTTCACCCTCATGACAATTTAGTGAGATTGATCTTGTTATCATTGTTTTAGAAATTAATTTTAAAGAAAGGAGAAAAATAAAAGACATTTAATAACACATAGTGCATTGACTGTTTGAACCTGGGTTCGGCCTGCTCCAAAGCCCATGCACTACACTTTGGAAGGAAACTGACAGTGAGTTGTCTTCTTCTTAGCTCCTCCATTTGTCATTTGTCACAGCAACCAACACTGAATATCAGCTTTTCTAGGAAAAAGATTTAGTCCCTTGATGAAAGTGCCTTTATTCACCTGAAAATCTCTGGCTGCACTGAAGAAATGCTTCTCTGTGTTTCTTCCACTTCTTGCTGCAGGTGGTTTATTGGGGATTGGTTGGCGTGCAGCAAGACTTGTGATGGTGGAATGCGCACAAGGGCTGTGCTCTGCATCAGGAAGATTGGACCTTCTGAGGAGGAGACACTGGACTACAGTGGTTGTTTAACACACCGGCCTATTGAAAAAGAGCCCTGCAACAACCAGTCATGTCCACCTCAGTGGGTGGCTTTGGACTGGTCAGAAGTAAGGAAATCTGAGGCTGTATGTTTTGAGATGTCTTAACTATCAGTACCAAAGCAGTTAATATTCAGGACACCTGAGCATGTGAGCATCTTAGAACGCAACAAGTAAGGACTGCCTAACAGTGAGTTTGGCCATGTGCTGTTTTTATTGCTGTTTGCCAGGAAGTAAGAGTTTCTTGGGTCAGGGAAATTAATGAGAAACTGCTCATCAGTTTCAGTAAAAATGAGTCTAAAGTGAATTTGATAGAACATTATAGTGATTACTCATTTAAGTGGTTTTTCTCCTTACTATTCTTGAACAGCATCACAGACTCAGAATTAGTGATATGTGACTAAAAACTGAAGTTCAGAAGGAGAGTTAAGAAAGGAAGATCCCTGAACTTATTGAAGACCTAGATGGCCCTTTCCTAGGAGCTCAGTTGGAAGGCATAAATTACTTATGTCTTTTTTTTCCAAGTAATGTTACAGACTAACTAATAACTCCTAGATAATGACTCTATTGATTTATTATCACTCGATAACTGTACATATCTCTCTCTCTCCCCCACCCTGACTTACCCCATAGAATGTAAGCTCCATAAAAATGGGGACTTATTCTTGTTCTGTAACTCCTATAACACACACAATAAGCTCTCAGATATTTGTAAAATACATGAATCTTCAAAATAGCAAACATGGCCTTCAGTGCTGCACTAGGTTATAATGAGAAGAACATTTGGAGCACGGACACACTAAGACCAAAACTGACTATATATGACGCGCACACACATATACATATGCGTATGCATGCACATACATATTTTAATTGCTTCTGTTGTATCTGCAGAAGAAACGTGGAGCTGTTCGGAGTTTACCATGACCTCCACTTACATAGTCAGTGAAGAAGACCTGAATAAGATAATGTTTTTCTGGCATACACGTGTCACAAAAGAGCCTAATATAATTCAGAGGTACTTAGATGATCTTATATAAAATAAGAGGTAGAATTAATTCTTGTCTCCCCAGTGTGCATGAGACACATACACACTATACAATTCTCTACATTTCCCAAAGGATATCTGACTCCTTCTGTAGTGCTGGTTAATGTTAAAAGGAATAAGTACCTGGTTGTGTAACTAGAGATAATTCCCTCAAGTTAGCATAACAGGCTGCATTGCAGACTCTATTCTAACATGAACTGTCGGAAACATTATAGTACTTGCTTTGGCTATTTCCTGAAGACCTCATGTGCTAAGCAGTTTGTCGAGAAAAACGAATTAAGCATTTTTAGGAACCTCTGGATATAACGGTTTTCCCTCTAAATCTTACTGCCTGAGTGGCCTTATTTTGCCAAAAGCACAGGGCTAAAAGAGGGACTGTGTTTCAGATGGGACATGGAAGTGGAGATTCTGACCAGTTGTGGTTATCCATGGAATGTTTGGCAGGAATTGGAAGAGTTCTCCCAAGTTTCCTGGCCATACTCCAGCTTTAGTAATTACATTCTGCCTACCTAACTTTCATCTGCAGTTTCAATCAAATGTAGAGATATTCTTGGTATTGCTCATGCAATTGTTATGGGAAACAGTATGGACTCTTCTGTTCCCTGGTTTGGGTGGACTGACTTCTAGATTCATTTGAAAGATAAAATCTGTTGGTAAAGAATAAACATTCTACTAGAGTTGTACAAATTTTAATAATTATTTTACTTGCAATTCAGTGCCCAAGAACCTTATAGAAATCCATAAATAGCTATTGCTAATAATGACAAATTTGTTATTAGAAGATCACGATGGGAGATCTGCAGCAGTTTGTGATATATAAATTCAGAGCTGAGGTCAGAGTACCCTGGAGTAGGATCAGAAGGCTTTTTAGTTGAGGGGAGTTGAAATGAATGTTGAGGGAGTGTAGAATTTGAAGTATGGAAGAGAATAGGGAAGCTGGAGAGGTATTCCTAAGAGAAACAATGGGACAAAAACACAAAGTTTATGTGATGAAAGTAGGGTAGAATAAAAAGTTTTGTTTTACAGAATAAATGGGAGATAAAATTGAATAAAGTAGAGGTTGGTGATAGGGAAGCTTGAATACAGAACTTTATACCACATTATCCTTCTGCAAAAAGTGGAGAAAATTAGACAAGTTCATAAGCAGAAACTAGAATTTCTGTCAACCACTAAAATAAAACCTCCCCGTACACAGACTCCTTTCACATTGGCCTACAGTTTTATGTATCATTTTATTTTTAACATAAAACTACTAAATAGAAGAACCCGGAAAAATAGTTATATTATTGATATGCTTCCATTCCAATAACCATTTTAAGATTTTTTTCTGAATTTAACCTCTGTAGGTTGTATTTTCACATCATTGGAGCTCATGTTCCTCTTTGCCCTTACCCTATTCTTAGAATTTTGTCACTTACCTAGTCAGTCGCTGAAGGGATTGGCCCAAATGGCTCTAAAGAGGCTCATAGACACTCCTGGATGCTGCTTGATGAATATGTCTAAGCCAAGGGGGCTTTTGATCACATTTCTACTCTCTTTAAGACAGCTGAGTCGAAACTTAGGGGAAAGGAGTGGTGCTGAGTGGGCACAGTGCACATGTTGGGACCACCACCTCAAATAAAGTGTTGGTAGCTGCTGTTGTCTCTCCACAGACAACCCAAGAAAACTATTCTAGGGTAAGCATAGGTGAAGAAATGCTGTCGTTATTATCTCAAAGATTCTAGTTGAACTTCATCTTTACCTTCATCTCCATTCTTTGTTCAAGAGAAAAGAGATGATTTTTTTTGTCCCATACAGTCTCTCCTGTTTATTTTATTTTCCAAAGGAGTGGGGGGACTCACACACTTCCTTTTCCTTACTTTACCAGGCAGCCCACCTCTTCTCTAGGTTAAAAATAAATAAACAGCATTAAATGAAATAAATGTCTAAGTAGCTACAGAGAACAAAGTGAGAAGCAGTCTGTTCCCAGAGGGATGGAACAGCTCCCACTAAAAAAGAGGTCCCTCTGAAGAGCAGGCAATAGTAATCTCTTTCAGTTAACCTTTTTAAAATCTGTCACACAACTTTCTTTTGACATGCCTATGAAAACTTTCCTCCTCTTTCTGTTCCTCCCCTTTTGCCCCCTCCCCACTCCCAACTATCAGCTGTCTGAGCTTTGCTAATCACAAGGGTTCAACTGGTGAAAATATGTTGCAGCAAGAGGAATTTACCCTTTGACCCTTTCCTTTTCTTTGCCGGCAGCTCTAATATAAAATTTCCATTGTTGCAAAGCCAGGAACCGTTTTCCCTATCAGTGAAACCCATGAGGTACTTACGGAAAAAAAAAATTACCTTGGTGGAAAATAGCTCCTCGGCAGCCTTTTGTGAAACTAATAAAGCCACAGCTTTCTCATTTCCTAGTATCTTTTCCTCACTCCTGGGATCATCTATGTTATGTTGGACTTTAAATGATTTTCTGTTTTGGCCCTCCCTTGGCAAGTAGGTATTAAAAGCATCACTGCATACTGTGGTTGGGCTCCAGCAGTCCTAGCCTATTCTTTTGATGTATCAGAATAGTTTCCCTTGACTCCCGCAGAGTACCCATTGAACAAAGGTCTGTTTCTTAATATTTCACTCTTGGATAAGTAGATAACTGGCATAATACTGAATGACCTTCTAGGCCTTACATTTAGGTAGCATTATTTAAGAAGGATGGAGGAAAATTCTACCTACAAGAGACTGCTGTGTCTAGTTTGACAATTGTGACTCCACCTTCCTTACTCCTAAATTCTACTCTGGTCCTATGACTAAATAAATTAAACCTACCTCCCCAGAGAGAACTACGTCTGGCTCCCCAAACTTTAACATTTCTTTCCAAGTTAAAGCCAAATTGTTTTCCCCGGTGTAATTTCAAATACTTTTTTTCTTCAAAAAATATGGTTTCACTTCTTAATCATGGAGCATTAAGCTAAAGCATAAATACATCTTTCATCTCTATATTCTACTAAGATGCTAACAAAAAACAGATGGTCTTGTCAGATTTAAAATAATTGTGAGATTCTGATTGCATAAATAAAAGAGGGAAAATAGGTATTTACCTGCAATAAGGAGAAATAGGAACAATTCTACTAACGAAAGGATTGTCCACTAAAATATCTCCCACCTAGCTACCTAATAGTTTATTATGAGAATGAGTAGACTGGATTTTGATGTTTGTAAGACTCTTTCAATTTAAAAAAAACATATTTTTATTACTGGACTAAGTATTCAAACTTCTAATTATTACTAGTGAGCATTACTACATACTCAAAAAGTATGCAAAAATATACCTTTATGTGAGTATAGACCAATGCTTATCTCTGGAGAATGCTCCAAAGTCATTAAGTTAATCCCTATTAGGCATGTGCAGAACCATGGCTACTACATACTGCTTTTCTAGAACTTATTTTTTAGATAGCTAAATAAAACTGAGGCTGGCAAATGGATAGACACATTTATTTATCAGAAGGTAAAAGGGAGGCAAAGATGAAATTTAGGCTAAAGAAAGCAGAGGGAGAGAAGTAAAAATAGAAACAAACTGAAGATATCTCTGCTTGCACATCATTGACTAAGGCTGGGAGCATTTGCTGGATAGAGTTTTACTTTGAATGAAGCTGGCGTAAGTGGCATCCCTTGTGTCATTACAATTTCTTAGAAGCAATTTTTAAGCATTTAATTTTATAGTCACCCTTAAGAATTAAAATATTTTTAGAGAACAGAGTTGAGATTTTGGCTACGGACATGTAATATTTGTAGCTAGATCTGCCAGGCTCAGGGCTGGTGTATTCATTGAATAAGGATGTGGCAGAAATGTAGTTTTCAGTCATTCTCTATTTTGAGAATCCAGTTGATTATCTCTCTACCTCTGCTGCTACAGGATATAATATCTTTGCCTTACTTAGTGGAGTTTTGGCTGTAATTTGTTAAAATGATTTCTTGCCCCAGTAGATGTCATTGTATGCTCAGCTTTGCATATAACTACATATTGTCCCACAGAGGATTT